CCTCGTATATATATATATGATGTACGAGCGAGAGAGAATGGAGCGAGAGAGGTCAAGAACCCGATACTTCGCTCTACCTCAAGATGCATTCGCGATTCTAGTTTTGCAAACGTTCGAAGCCCTCCGCTTCGGATGAATCTATACTTATAATTTTATCGTATTCCATATTTTATCGTATTTTATATATAATATTAACAATTTTGGTACTCACGTATATTCTTGTTCTCTTTCATACGATTGAATCCTGATACAAATTTTATTTAGGACTTTTATGTGCCCGTTGTTAGCCGAGAAATATAAGAATTGGAAATTGGATACGCACGTATCAAAATACATGACCGATAAAATTGTAAATCGAGTTTCTAAAATCTGAAATATAGATTATGTAAAGTGAGCTTTATTTATTATTAGATCAATTCTATAAATCGATATCCATTATTGAATAACGTTAAAACACAGTTCGATTTTTTATCAGTGACATATACATAATTTGTTGCTTTCACGTGTTTTTGATGATATTTTTATTCTGAAAATATTGATTTAAGAGAATCCTAGACAAGTTATATGATTTTTGCGAGATATAATTAATGCATTCTGATTTATTTAAATCCGAGAGATTATTCCGAGAGATAAACGAGATTAACAAAAATATATTTACGCTTTGATAGGAAATCAATCATTTTATTTTTTTCCCCAAGGAAATTATATAATTAAAAATCCTTGTATCTTTTTGTTTGTGTGAGTTTGTGTATGTTTTCACTATCGATAACAATCGCATTGATGTGTGATTTTAGATGTTTCTTCCAGATATAAACATGCTAAAAATTCTTGTTGTTTCACATTGTCTTTCAACATTTTAAGTTTCTTAATGTCACGATAAGATTAGTCGCCTTCCCGCGTTTGTTTTTCCATCTTTAACATTAAAACGATAATAGAAAAAAAAACGAAAAAAAAAAGACTTAAAATGTACAATATATATTAGCGCTATTAATCACGCAATGTTTATCTTTATATTACATTATCCATGTATGACGTAACCGTGACAATGTAAATTTTTAGATATAAATTTTGGCATATAATTACTTGAATTACTTAAATATATATCTTTTACATATTCACAGCACGTTACATGCGCTTAATACAACTTGTCGATTCCGACATATATATAATGTATGTGCGATTAATCAAAAAACAACCCGATGTGTGCACCAATGTGATAATACATACTATACAGTGTAGTGTATTTTTAATCATGTTTATTTGCGCTCCGATTACTTAGCATATCGTTGATAATACACGTCATTACATGCGCTTATATTAGAAGACATTAATAAGAAAATTTAGACTTGTATCACGAGAGGTTATACAAGAGGTTTACAATTAAATGTCAGTGATAAATCCTTTCTTCTCGAATAACTTGATATTAATTTAATTAAAAGTCTTGTCTGAGATCATTACTTATTAAAATTATTTGTGTTGTTCTGTTGTTTACGGTCTAATTAAGATAGAGTGATTTAACAACATGTAAAAATGTTTGTATTTTGATCTTCTGTTGCAGTATCCAATGACGATACTTTACGATCCCAGCTGTAAGAAAGAACCATCCATAGGAGTGTCCACGCAATATGGACAGGAAAGAGAAATGTGTATGAAACTGTTCGAAAGATGGAACGAAGCGGAACAAGTGCAGTTTGTCGAACAGCTGTTAGCACGGATGTGTCATTATCAACACGGACACATCAACGCATATCTCAAACCGATGCTACAGAGAAACTTTATTTCGCTTTTGCCGAGTGAGTAATCATATACATACAGCAATATACATTTGCTTTATGTCTGATACATTCTTTTTTTATTCTTTGATATGTCTTGAACCATTGTATCTTTGTCCATAACACCGAATGAATATTTTACAGAAAAAGGATTAGATCACGTAGCAGAAAGTATTCTTTCCTATCTTGACGCTAAGTCACTTGTATCTGCAGAGTTAGTATGCAAAGAATGGCATAGAGTTATCAGTGAAGGAATGCTTTGGAAAAAATTGATTGAACGCAAAGTCCGAACAGATTCGGTTTGGAGAGGTCTGGCTGAAAGGAGAGGATGGTGAGTAGAATTATATAAATTCTGTAAAACTCAAGAGACAGACACATATACATATATGAATTTTTAGTCTTAAACATGTATAGAATTACAGACAAATATATTCTGATACATTTGAAGAAATTTCGGTATATTGAAAGTGAATAAATATAACTCAAATTTAGTGCTTTATTAATAAACATTTGATGCTATTATTTTTAATTATATCATCTGTTGGTTTTAGTCTAAAACTTGTTTTTAAATTTTGGCATATTCTGTAGTGGCATATTCTGTCCCAATTTTTTTTATGATGACTTTAAATATTTAAATATTTATTCCATTGATCTTTAATAACACAAATATATCTGAATATTTTGAAATTCAACAATTATAAATACATTTTAAAGCACACATAGTATATTACAAGATTACTTGTAGAATGGAACATATAGAAATATATAAAATGAAGGAAAGGAAGAGTATATGAACCATTTATTTTTAACCACTTATATTTTCTTATTTATTTTATGAAATTTGCTTTCAGGATACAGTATCTTTTTAAACCGAAACCAGGCGAAGCCCATCCTAATCATAACTTCTATAGATCTCTTTATCCAAAAATTGTTAAAGACATCGAAAGTATAGAAAATAATTGGAGAATGGGTCGATTCAATCTTCAAAGAATTAACTGTCGCAGTGAAAACTCGAAGGGCGTTTATTGTTTGCAATACGATGATCAGAAAATAGTCTCTGGACTTCGTGACAATACGATTAAGATCTGGGATAGAAATACTCTGCAGTGCATCAAGGTGTTGACAGGACATACGGGTTCTGTGTTGTGTTTGCAATATGACGACAAGGCTATAATATCCGGTTCTTCGGACAGCACCGTGAGAGTTTGGGATGCTACCACAGGCGAAATGGTCAATACGTTAATTCATCATTGCGAGGCAGTATTGCATCTCAGATTTAATAATGGCATGATGGTCACTTGCTCGAAGGTTAGTAGAAAAAGGATGATAAATTTTTGTACATTTTATAATCTTCATTTGATTGGGATGCGACTGATAATAATTATTATTTGTAGGATCGTTCAATAGCGGTCTGGGATATGACGTCGCAAACGGAAATTGCACTGAGACGAGTACTAGTGGGACACAGGGCTGCAGTGAATGTAGTTGACTTCGATGAGAAATACATTGTTTCAGCTAGTGGTGATAGGACTATCAAAGTATGGAATACTTCTAACTGCGAATTCGTGCGAACATTGAACGGACATAAACGTGGCATAGCGTGTTTGCAATACAGGGATCGTTTAGTAGTTAGTGGTAGTAGTGATAATACCATACGACTATGGGACATTGAGTGCGGCGCATGCTTACGTGTTCTGGAAGGACATGAGGAACTAGTGAGATGTATACGATTCGATAGTAAGCACATCGTCAGCGGTGCTTATGACGGGTATGTAATTTCGAATGTCTTAATCTCAATTTTAATTTTATATAAGCTTATAAGTTTTCAACGAATGTATTGTATTTTTTGCTTCTGTTTAGAAAAATAATACGATCTAATAAAAATAATACGATTTTATAGTATATTATTGTTATACAAAATACAAGAAAGTAATTTGTAAATAGTCATTATATTTCATTTGATGTGATACTTATATCAATTGAATTGAGAGATGTATATTTCGCTTTAAGAATATATTATATAATTTTATGAACTTCTGAAAATATTGTACCATTGAGCTCATCTATTATTGTATTTTGCAGCAAAATCAAAGTTTGGGATCTTGTAGCAGCTCTTGATCCTCGTGCTGTTGCCAGTACTTTATGCTTACGCACTTTAGTGGTAAAAGTGATACTTATATCCTTATTTTCTATAAATATTATGTTTAATCAGCAATTATTTAAGCGCTCCATCGAGTTATAATTTTTATTCATTATCAATCTTGTTTCTTTTTTTGTAGGAGCATACTGGACGAGTGTTTCGTCTCCAATTTGACGAATTTCAAATAGTTTCATCATCTCATGATGATACAATACTAATCTGGGATTTTCTTAATTACAATCCGTCAAGTGGAAGTGCAAGTGTATGCAGCGGACGCCTGCCAATGGATGGAGCACCGAACCAAGCCGATACTAGATCTCCTTCCCGTAAGTATACTAAATATAATATTTTTATATTAAACTTGGAGAGTTTTTAATATATGTTAATTATAAAACATATCGAAAATATTATTTTTATTTGCAGCATTCGAGTGACGTATCAATACGGAGATTCCTTTATTGTGATATAATTGTAAGTATATTTTGTGAATCATTTGATTACGTGCAGGTAAGCTCTAGGAACAATTTATTCAATATAAATACCAATTTTTTAACAAAAAATATGTAAAAAGTAAATTACGCGGAATTTAATCACAAGATCTTACATTTTAGACAAATGGTTAGTGAGTGAATCTAATGTGTTCACAACAATGTGCGCAAAGAATGAAATATCCTATGATGAGTGTCCAGTATGAGAGCGGCAATTAAACACAAGACTGTCTGAGGAAAATATTTTGTTGATGACTCTGACTTATTGTTTGCTGGGACAGCAAAAGAAATTCTTCAAGAAAATAGGAAAGTAAAACGAACTGACGTGAAACTATAAATTATAATTTATATACATATATGCGCTTGACGCACCGTATTTAGGAACGAACAGTATGTTTAAAGCCGCATAAATACATCCCATGGATGTAAACGATCGTTGTCTGCTTTGGCCATATCTGGAATTCTTCTATGCTCTATGACATGAGTAGAAGTCAAGACCATTTTCCTACCGGTAAAAAAGAAAAAAGAAAGACTTACAATACGTAATGTAGCAAAATGTTTTTAGGGAGGCTGGATATTACACTTAATAAGACATTAGATGTATTATAATAAAACAAATTAATGATTTTTTATATAATTAATTTATGAGAAAAGAATTTGTAAAATGTTGTTTGATTGGAGTACTTATCTTGTGTGAATGTGTAAAAAAAATTATACGGAAGAATTATCGTGTTGCACCATCTTTTGAAAATAATTCATTATATAAAGTGCTGTATATTATGTTCAAACCATAAAAAAATCATTGATTGAATGTATAACAATTTTTTTGTAAACATTCAAATTTTATGAAATCTATTTAAAAAGCGAGTGAAGAGCCAACAACCTCTGCACAGCCATTTGGTACAATATCATTTGCATTTAGAATATAAAAATCACTACATGAGAATGTAAATATTATTATCATTATTATTATATTCATACAGATACAAGTGTAGCGTGTGATCCTAAAGTGATCTTAATCATTGTAAAAAAAAAAAGGAAAAGAAACGCTATTATTATATCTTGACCACTGATCTCGTTTAACTCATTTTATTCATATTTTGTACACTATAAGTTTCTCAATTTTATATTTATCTAAATTGTCAGTCTATTCAAGATGTGTGTATTGATACTCTTTCTATTCTAAGCATTCTACTTTTGCGATTTGGTATTTCACTGAAATTTTACAAAAAATACTCTAAATATAGCAAAAACTTTAAACGCAAATAAAATTTATCGTTGTTTGGATTTATATTTATGTACACAACTGAACATATACGTAGTTTAAATGATATCTACTATAAAGAATCCAAGTGATTGTGATGTCACGAAACAGTTTATTCTTTGTGAACACTTTGAATATATATAAATATAGTATTGTACACACACACGCACACTCGCGCGCGCGCGCACATACACACATACATACATACAGCGATACACACGCATAATTTTATAATACTGTATTTATATTAGCATACTATAACAATATTATTATTCATAGACATGCTATAGACGTACTGTCTATAATTATAATACTGTTTACTATGTCTTATAGCGTTTTCGATTGCAATAAATTTTTGATGCGGATTGTGCACTTCTTGCACGTAAAACACAAAAAAGGATAAAGGATGCGAGCAATGAAAGAAAAAGAAAAAAATGAGTATGGCAGCATAACCCGGATCAAAACTACAATGAAAACACTATAAGTATGTGTATGTGTGCGTGTCACATTATACATCCTTAAAATGATATCAACGCAGCTAAAATCTTGCGATATTGCAGGATATTTTGAGCGTTGAGAGTGAGACATCTTTGAATATTTGATATTAAACAGTGCTACAATATTAGTAACTATATGAAAGTAAGATATTAGTAAAAAAGTGAAATACCGAATGAAATTATGTTTTCCAAATATGCGTTTTGTCAATAATGGTCAGTAAAAAGATGCAACATAATATAATTGCTTATAAACTGTCTGTCAATAAATGAATTATACAGAACGATTGTCATAGAAAATAATATTTCAAGGTGTAATATATTATAATTCGAGTGTTTCAGCCCTATGAGATAAGAATACAGAAAAAAGTTTACATTTTGATTTCAATACATATATGTGAAGTTAATCTCGAAATTTTATACGAGTTATATATATATACAGAATGCAATTTACATATTAATATATGAAAATATATGTGAAAATAGTAAGGCAATATACTAAATTAAAATTTAGAATATGCAGAATTTGTTTACTCTTATAACGCATATTTAAAGAAAGAAAGAAAAAAATATATAGATAAAGCGGATATTTGTACGCAAATTGTTCGCGTCGCAAACGGTTCTACATCAAACAGGAAATGTGAAGATGGAAAATTAATGAATTGCATGCGAACTGTGGGTACAAACTTAGAAATTTTGAAAAATTAATACAATTGGAATTTTGTATAATTTCGAATGTAAAACGAAGTATAATTTTGTAGAGTGTATACGACGTGTGTAGATTTTTGAGTTTGCGACTTGTTTCAATGAATAGGCGAAGTAATAGTGATCGTAGTCAGGCATTAAGATATTCTTGCATAGAATGCTCTCCTTCATTGTTCTTCTGCTATCAATAGATACGCATATGTAGGTATTATCAAAAGATACAATCGCTTATTCCGTGTCTTCCCGTATTCCCTATCGAGACACGGAAATTTCTCTCCTACTTCTTTTTTAAATTGATATCTGAGAAATCATTGGGAGCTGAAAAAGATCTTCTGTATGTCGCGTCTTCTATTAAAATATATTCACCGAATTGTGTGCGTGTTGTTCTTCGACAAATCGACCGAGTGAGAAGTAAATGATATGAAAGATGGAGCCAAATATCTGGAGATATGAAATATCGGACGTAATAGTTAAGAAAATCACACGAATCTGTATCTTGTAAGAGCATCGCGACACGCACTGCGATCAGATCGCAACATGGGCGTTTGTGATTGTCGAGGATACCAGTGAAATACCCTTAAGAAGATTATTGTGATGCTTTATTGTTAATATCGACATGAATCTTCGTGTATGAGAATAATTGAATAGAGAGGATACAAAGGCTGTGCAAAAGCTATATTCGAAATACAATACCTACACAAGAATACGGAGGATTTTTTACGAAGTCCATTATTATCTTATCCTTCTGTATGCAATATGTGTATTTAATTATATTATAAAATCGTATTGTTAAGTGATCTGGATAAAAAACAAATCAAGCATATTAAGCATAATTTCATTGATTGTTTTTTTAAGTATTGTGCAAGAAAATATCATAAAATAATGAATAAAAAAAAGTTAAACATCCAGATTTATCAATTAAACTTTTAGAGAATTTGTTAATGCTCCAATTTCATTAATAACTTTTGACATTTATATTTATATATATCACCTCACTTTTCAAGAAATTTCTCTCCATGCAATATGTGTAAACATAAGCATTAATCCATCATAAATATTATGTCATAATGGAGTATTCAGTATGATTATAAGAAATAAGAAGACTTTTCAAAACATTTAATAGATCATAAATAATTCTTAAAATATTTTCTAGGTACTTGGCATTGTCTAGAAAACTAATATTTATTTTTAATATAGAAATATCAAATTTATCACAGCGGAAGGCCGACCAATCATTGTCCCTTATCGTGTAAAACTTATTGCATTCTATTCACACATAAAGAACGTTATTAATCATTATAATTTAATAACAATAATACATATTTTTTTCAGAAGCTCCTAAAATTGTTTCTCAATAAGAAACAGCCAATTAAATAAATCGTCGATTAAATTAATTCGAGTTTGGCTTAAATTTTATCTCCACTACTTGATTTATATTCTTTGTGATATTTTGCTAAAATCAGAAAGTTTGTTATATCATCATTGCGCATGCATGAAAAAAGATTATTTCAATTAAATTATAATTAAATTAATTGACGATTAATTTATCCGATAGAATTGCGTTATAAGATAAACTATTTATAATTTGTTTCTAATCTAATTTTCTCCCTGATCCCTAATCTTTATGTTATATAATAAAAATTAATTTTATTTACCTTGATAAAATAATATAAATATTAAAAATGTTAATTAGTCAGACTTTGCTTGTCCATTTCTATCAATTTCTATTTTACTCTCTCTTTAACTTACTCTTCATTTTTTTAATTCTTCGAACTAAAAAAATAATAAGATAATCTAAAATTATGATTTACCAATTTTAAGTACTTTTTACCAATTTTAAGTACTTATATTTAGAATAAATAAATATAAATTTAGTTTTATTAAAAAAAAAACAATATTTGATGTAATTATATCGTCTTTTACTGCTAACACTAATTTAAAGCTGTTTCAAAATTTTTGCATATGGCATGCATATGTTATGTGTGGCTTCAATTTTTTGTGGCGACTTTAAATTGCTTCATGTATTAATAGTTATTGATCTTTAATAGTGTAAATTTGATATTTCGCAATCTCTGAGCTTTAAAGCGTATACAGTATATCACGAGATTTGGTGTGTGCCAAGATTTTAAAACAAGCCTCAAGCTAAAAATAGGAGCAAAAGATGATATAACTGGAAAATTGCATCAAATGCTTGTTATTAACTAATAAGAAAAATGCCGGAATTGAATTTAAGAGTTATACTTTTATTTATTCTAAATATATTAATATTAATGAGGTAAATTTCTTCATGTACCACAGAATATATCTCTTGTCCTGTACATTGAAATGGACTTAAGTCGAAATTAGATCGAAGTCGATCCACAAAGTCCTAATTAATCAACAATTTGGCTACTGATTCGGAAGTCATCGGCTCCAGAGATCCCAACCGAGATTGAAGGGCGCGTTCCCATGGGCGCGGGTGGCTCGCGGAAAGAAGATGGCGCTGATTCGCGCGCGCCCACACACGGGGACAGGACGCGTGCAACGTAGATCGTCGGCGTAAACATGCGCCGGCGGCGGCCGCAGACGGAGGCTGGCATGTGATCCTGGCTTCACCGTAGATAATACGAGGCTGGCGGAAAATGGCGGACGAACAGGTGAGTCGCCGATGGCAAGTACCACGCGCGCGTCCCGTGCGTGACGTTATTAATTGCGGAGCGGTGCGGCGCCGCGCGAGCGACCGCGACCCGCCGGCGGAATCCGCGCCGGATTTCCGCGCGTGTCGTCAAGTCGTACGCGCGCGTGCATGCGTACGTACGTGTGTGCGTGTGTCGCGCGTTCGCTCGTTCTCTCGCTTTCTTTCTCTCGTTCGCTCGTGCGTTCGTTCTGTTTCGCTCGCGTGTGCGGTGAGCCTGACGCGATCTTTCAACGCAGAATCGCGGAGGATTCCCGGGCTGGAGGACAAAATGCCAAAATGCCCAAGTGCGTTTTCCTCGCGCTGACACGCGAAACGGCGTGGATGCGACGGAACCGGGCGACGCAACCGACTCGACGCTCGTTTCGATCAAGTCGCCGATCGCGCCGTTCCACGTTAAGCGATTTTACGTTACATTGGTCTCCTTCGATTTTTGTCGCGCCTATCAAGCCGAGAGAACCTTAATTCTCGTAGTAGCTGATCCAACGGATAATTAACGACCAAGAAATTCATCTGACCCACACGTTGAGGTGCCGAGAGATCCGAGCGAGCGAACGGCACGTTACCGATCGCGATCGTACACCGCCAACGAGCATCATGTGAAAGCTCGCATCGCGATGTTGTAAATGAAAAAAAAGTGCGGTAACCCCGCTGCGCCTCGGCGCGGCTGCGTCGCGTCGTTGTTTATCTTCCCATGGAAGTCGTTTTGTACTCCGAGCTGTCCCTCCTCGTCGCCGCCGCCGCCGCCGCCGCCGCCGTTGCCAGGATGTACTCGCGAAGCGAAGCGGAAGCGCTGCGATAAACCGCTCGGCTGCGTACGCCGCATCTCCCGGGCTCGGAATCGTCGCGTTTATTTACAATCCGTCGCCTATAACCTGTCCTGTCCGCGGATTTCGTGCGAAAGATCTCCGTCAGCGAAATCCTCGCCCGACAACGATGTTCAATGTGTGCAACCTGCCGATAAAATAGACAAACATCTTGTCGCGAATCAATCTTCCACTTTATTGGGTGTATCTGCGTGTCTTACGTGAATATAATTTGTGTTGCGTATAGCATAAATATAAATATAAATATAAATAATATATTATCATTAGGTTAATTATTAAACGCGTGTGTCGAACCCTTTGTTATATTTCCGAATATTTCTTGGAAATTTTGCTTTGGATAATTAATTTGATTGCACAAAATGTGTTTATGTCTGTAAATTGTATTAATAAAACGTTATGCTAATCAAAATTAAATCCCAGTTGGGTTTATTGTTTACTACAGATATACACGAAATCATATTTGCTTGTGTTTTTTTTATAATTATTGCCACACAGGATAGAATTGCTACGTAGAAAATTGTTGACGTCGATATAACCTTCGTTTTATCACACAATCATTTATACATTTTTACCATTGTAGATTAATTTTAATCTTAATTTGATTTAATTTGTTTCTTTTATTTTCCATCTTTTTTCAATATCTAAGAATTAAAGAAAGATGAAAGATAAATTAATCTACATTGATAGAAATGAAGATTAGAAGTATATCCTCGAGTTAAATGGTATGACGTATTTCATACATTCATAATAAAAAACGAAACTGTCTTCAGATTTCTCTATTGATTCCACGAGTTAATCTTGAAGTTAATTTCAAATTCTGCGATTTGATCGGTGTAATGAGACTGTAAAATTGTCGATGTTACGAACTGTAGCTAATAATGATTTGTAATGCGCCATAAAGAGTGGATACATTGTTATGAAACTTTTAGACTTGTACCTAAATGGAAACATTGAGGAACGGCTTTATATAGTGTGATTAAAAATGGATCACGTGCAGGAAGTACGGCAGCTGGAATTGCTATGCAAGCAACTGTACGAGTCGCAGGATTCGGCGCATCGCGCGGAAGCGGAGAAGGCCTTGGTTGCTTTTCAAAATGCACCAGATACGCTTACAAAGTGCCAGCTTCTTCTGGACCGTGGGGACTCCGCGTATGCTCAATTACTGGCCGCCACCACTTTGACGAAGCTGGTGTCACGCTCGGCGCAGGGACAGCTTACGACAACACTCAGCTTACAACAGAGGCTCGATATACGTAAGTGGTGCTCATGGCGTTTCATAGAGATCAATGAAAGAGTGTATCTCTTGAAAAAACTTATCGGATTTATCTCATTTGTCTCATGTGTTTGCAGGAAACTACGTACTCAACTACTTAGCAACGCAACCAAAGTTACCGAATTTTGTGATACAGGCTTTGGTTACGCTATTCGCTAGGATATCAAAGCTTGGGTGGTTCGATTCCGATAAAGAGGAATTTGTTTTCAGAAACGTAGTCAGCGATGTAGCGAAGTTTCTTCAGGTTTGGCATATTTCATTCAGCATTATTATCTTGCGCACGCTGCATTTCTCTATGCACATATTTTTTTCTATAATTAATAACGATCTGTATTGTAACGAACAAAGGGGTCAGTGGAGCATTGTATGATAGGAGTACAGTTGCTGTCTCAGTTGACATGTGAAATGAATCAAATATCGGAAGCCGATGCGAACAGATCTTTGACAAAACATAGAAGAATAGCGAGTAGTTTTAGAGACACACAACTATTTGAAATATTTAGGTTATCGTGTACTTTACTGAGTACAGCTCGTGAAAATTGTAAGAGTTTAAATTTCAACGATGAAGGGCAGGTAAAGTATGACAATGTACATACGCGATTAATAATTTTTTCAATTTTACGTTAACGCATCAGTCATAACACTTGCTTTCCGCAGCATGGTTTGATAAGACAACTGTTAAAGCTTGCACAAAACTGTTTGACATTTGACTTTATCGGCACGTCAACCGATGAGAGTTCGGACGATCTTAATACAGTACAAATCCCGACAAGCTGGAGGCCTGCATTTTTGGATTTCACCTCGTTGAAGTTGTTTTTTGATCTGTATCACAGTCTACCTAATACATTGTCGTGTTTGGCTCTTTCATGCTTGGTTCAAATAGCGTCCGTCAGACGGAGTCTATTCTCTAATACCGAAAGGGCGAAATTTCTGACGCACTTAGTCAACGGTATTAAGCATATACTACAAAATCCTCAAGGTCTTAGTGATCCAGGAAACTATCATGAGTTTTGTAGATTATTATCTCGACTGAAAAGCAATTTCCAACTCGGCGAGTTGGTCTTGGTGGAGGATTATCCCGAAGCAATACAACTGATCGCAAAGTTTACAGTGCAGAGCTTACAGATGTGGCAATTTGCGCCGAACAGCTTGCACTATCTTTTGACCCTATGGCAAAGAATGGTATCTTCAATGCCATATGTAAAAGCGGGCGATCCACATTTATTGAATACGTACACACCAGAAGTTACGAACGCGTACATCACATCAAGACTTGAATCGGTAGCGGTAGTAGTCAGAGAGCGTCTGGAGGATCCATTGGATGATCTAGGAGTGGTCCATCATCAATTAGAACAAATATCGGTCATCGGTAGATGCGAATATCAGAAAACGTGCACCTTGCTAGTCCAATTGTTTGATCAAGCTGCAAGAACGTACCAGGAATTAATGACGCAAACAGTATCACCGACGCAACAGATTGATATTGCAATTCAAGAAGGACAGCTTACGTGGCTTGTATATATCATAGGTAAACGGAATATCTTAGTTAGCATTGCTACCTTTCATAATCAACAATGCTTATATTTTTTCTTATCTTTAGTTTTTTTTATTTCTTTTAGGTGGTGTTATCGGCGGAAGAGTTGCATTTAATAGCAACGAAGAGTTCGACGCTATGGATGGAGAATTAGTTTGCAGAGTATTACAATTGATGAACCTGACTGATTCGAGACTCGCGCAGGGTGGCTGTGAGAAATTGGAATTGGCGATGTTGAGTTTTTTCGAGCAATTTCGGAAAATCTACGTCGGCGATCAAGTTCAAAAAAATTCTAAAGTATACAGGAGATTGTCTGATGTGTTGGGTCTTAATGATGAGGCAATGGTACTCAGCATCTTCATTCGAAAGATGTAAGTAATTTGTATGTTACTCACGAGATGTGCCTCAAACTGCTAATGCTGCTTTACGATTTACAGAATAACGAATTTGAAGTACTGGGGTAGGAGCGAACAAATTATTTCCAAAACGCTACAACTTTTAAATGATTTATCAGTTGGTTATAGCTGTGTTCGTAAACTTGTCAAATTAGAAGAAGTACAATTTATGCTCAACAATCATACGGTATATGCTGAGATCTGTTATTACTTTAATATTTTATACGAATATCTAATTAATGTATTAATTAATATATTTTTTTGACAGCGAGAACACTTTCCATTTTTGGGAAACAATGTTGCTGTGACAGAAATGCGCTGTAGATCAATGTTTTACACATCTCTTGGTAGATTACTGATGGTAGATTTAGGTGAAGATGAGGAAAGATTTCATACTTTTATGCTACCTCTAACAGGTAAGAAAATTTATAAATATGTAATTAATTCTTTCTATCTTGAAAACATATGCAACAAATATAGTCTCTTTTTTATATAATTTTAGGTGCATTGGAGAGCCTTGGTCAATTAATGGGTGCTGCAGATACACCTCTTTTTGCAGCAGAGGAAGCAAAGAAAGCGTTAATTGGTTTGGCTCGGGATCTTAGAGGTTTAGCTTACGCATTCAACACCAAAACATCCTATATGATGCTTTTTGATTGGATGTACGTGTGTCCAAGATATCTGTTTATATTAATATTTATTAATAATTTACAATATTAAAAAATAAGCATTTTATATTTTTAAAAAATTTAGATACCCGAATTATACACCGATTTTATTACATGCTGTGGAGTTGTGGCATCATGAACCGCAAGTGACAACACCCGTCCTGAAGTTATTTGCTGAATTAGTACAAAATAGGAGTCAACGATTACAATTCGATGCGTCGTCTCCAAACGGGATTTTGTTGTTCCGCGAGGCCAGCAAAATAATATGTAGCTACGGCAATCACATATTGAACGTTGAAGTACCCAAGGATCAGATCTATCCATTAAAACTGAAAGGAATAAGTATATGTTTCAGTATGTTAAAGGCAGCCTTATGTGGAAGTTACGTAAATTTTGGAGTGTTTAGGCTATATGGTGATGAAGCGTTGGACAATGCTCTTAATACATTTGTCAAATTACTTCTTAGTATTCCTCAAAGTGATCTTTTGGTAAGTATATACATATGCTCGCAATAATATTTTATTAATTGTCCAAGTAAATTCTTAATATATATATATTATAAATTATAATAGTAATAATTATAGTAGTAATAATGAATATGCAATATTTAAATTTTTATAAATATTTATGAACATATTGTCACTTTTAAATATTGTTTTTAATAGCATTATCCGAAATTGTCGGCAACATATTATATGTTACTTGAATGTCTGGCGCAAGATCACATGGTCTTTTTATCCACTTTGGAACCTAGAGTTTTTCTCTACATCCTCTCTAGTATCAGCGAAGGGCTTACAGCACTAGGTGCGCAAAAAGACTTCTATACAGGTCTGTGCGGCTGATTCTATCTTGCTACTACTCTCTAAATCCTCAACGCCATATCTTGAAATTGAAATTATTTTGTTAGATTTCTCTGAAACATTCTTACGAAATAAAACAAAAGTATTTATTTTTCTCAATAAATTAATGTTTCTAAAAAAATTTTTTTTCTACATAGATTACAAAAAAGGAAAAGTAAATAAATATTATAAATATTTAACAAACATCGTAAGTTATAAATATTTAACATACATCGTAATCAAGTATAAATATGTGTGTTAATAATTTATATATTGGAAAAAAATAATACCTCAATACATTTTTATATTACATTAGATATATACAAAATTAAAATATCAGTATTTTCATAACAGGTTTTTATATTTATATTATAAAATTATTCTTCGAATGTATTTATATTATATTTTTCTAAATCATATAAACATTTATTTCACATTTATTTCATAATTATTCAAGATATTTATTTTTGTTATACATACTTCAAGAACTTATACATTGGTTTTGATACTTTTTGCTTTTTGCATTATTGCTTGGAATGTGAAATCTGCCTATTATTAGTCACTGCGACAGTTCGAAATGCAAGAAATGGATGCATATTTTGAATATTTTATTATGCACAATAAAGAGGATTACTGAGAACACTTTATAAATAACATTGGCTATAAGAGGATTGGAGTGCGTGGAGCCCCTGGACCCTAAATATGATTAAGTCTAATATGCAAGAATTACATAGCTTGTATTTTCAACAATATATCTTATTGAGTGTTATGATGCAATTTTCCATTACAATAGAATTGAATAATGGGTCTGGCATAGATAATCAGCCACACAGCTGACATATTATTAAATGCATTAACATTTAATTAAAGATTATATATGTTTTCTAATAACTAATGTACTAATTATAGTTGCATGTTTTATTCTTAATATATGCTTAAATCTTTTAATATTTATATGCAATTCAATTAAAAATATTTGTGTAATATGTTATGCATGTGTGCATGCAAAAGAATGAAGTAATAGAGATAAAATTGTTGAGATTTCAATATTGCAGTTAGCAAAGTTTTTAAATTGCAAATTGCAATATAGAATAATTTAAAAAATTTTACATCCTGTATTTAAATTTATGTAATATTTTTTTTAATGATGATTTAAATTTATTTTATTAATTTATTAATTTTTCTTAATAAAAGTATGATCAAATTGTAAGTTTATGAAATATTAAATTATGCGAAAAAATAGATACATTTTAAGAAGCTTGCAATAAAAATACTATCATTTTATATGCATGTATTTTTCATTATGATTTTCATTGTGATTTTATGCACGTGTTTTTGTTTTTTCTGGGAGTAAGAGCTAGAAGTAAAAATAAAACTTTCTGATTTCAGATACTATGGTCTGCACGGGTTGTTGTGCAACTCTTGACCATATTGTAACATATTTGTTTAAACAGCTTTATCAAAAAGGTACATTTTAATAATTATTAATAAAACAGTATTTTCTCAACGAAACTATTAATAAAAATGTAAAAAATATATTGATATTATATGTATCAGAATATCATATTTTTAGGATATCCAGGAAGAAAAAATGCAGTTGTTCCTGGAGGAGGAGAATTATTTTTACAAGTTTTGAAGCAACATCCTGAAATATTGCAACAAATTTTAAGTACTGTTTTAAATGTGATAATGTTTGAGGATTGTAGAAATCAATGGAGCATGTCTCGTCCTTTATTAGGTCTCATATTATTAAACGAAGACGTAAGTTTAGCAACAATGTTTAT